AGAGGGGGGAGAGAAAGAGAGAGAGAGAGGGGGGGATGGGGGGGGGGAGAGAGAGAAAAAGTTGTGCACACAACTGTTCAATGAGCACAAAGACAAAGTGGGCTAAACAATGCATGATTTGAAGACATCATCCTGACGAGAAGGATTGTGTGCCATGATGTGACAAGATATCATCTCAATGTGATTAGGTTATATTATTGACAGAATAAAAGATATAGAGGAGAAGTAGGAGAAGAAAACTGGATACACAAATGGTACTAACTAATAATCTTGCAATATTTAGATTAATGCTTACCGGCATGCGGACTTGCTCAGTGCTGTCTCTTTCCCGTAATGTTACTGTGTTTGGTGTGTTATTACAGGTATCGAAGTCAATGGTAACTCCAAAAGGAATGGCAATCTCGTCTGTTCGAGCATATCTACGACCAATGGATCCAGTAGAATCATCAATTCTTGATGAGATATTTAGTTCAGTCAGGTCATTTGCTGTTGAAACAAGTCAGAGAAATAAATATAATAAAAATGATTAAAATAAACAAATAAATAATAAAAAAAGAAAGGTGGTAAGACAATTACAACTTCCACAAAAAATTGTTAATCCAAACCAAACTATCACACCATGAGACAAGTCCTAATTCTATGATTACAATAGTACCATCAGACTATTCCTAGTTTCATTTTATCATTAAACATTTACAATAAACTAGAAGTAGTAGCATTTACCAAAGGGCAAGGACTATAACATGAGAAGAAGAGGGAATACAGTAATTAACTCACATAGCTGGACTGTGAAGGGAATAAACTCAGGCTTATTTGAGAGAGGCAGAACAGACACTTTAACAGGTGCAACAATAGGTGGCAGTGAAAAGTAGGTCCTCTTGTCATCATCTTCTCTTACTCTGGAAATAAGGAATAATATTAGATTTTATCATCCATCATTACAGTAACATTGAGTTTTCAGTTTATCTCTTAGCCATTAATGCTGGAAGTACATGCCTAAGTCTGCTGTTGACTATGGCTTCCTTTTATTAGTTTTATTAATAGCTAAAAACAAGCTTAGTCACCAATAATTACTCTATGCCTACCTGACCTCACCAATTTCCTACCATTTTTAAAATATTTGAAAGGAAAGTTTTCATTTCTATTACCATTGTTATTGTAAACATCTTTGATTCAAATGATGTGACCATCCTGTCATTAAAAAATCTGATTTGTGGGTAGGTGACATGAACATGACGTCATGAGAAAATTTAGCCGAGGGCCAGGATGACACAAATATGAGAATTTCAGCTGAAAGCTGAGGTGAAAGGAATGACTCGCCACTCGTCTAATCACTCGGAGGGTGATTAGACTCATTTGGTATATAGGGAGGGACTTTTGCAATAATATTGATACTGCCCTTGACCTATGACTAGAAGAGCACCAGCTCCAGGGACGAGGAGGAGGAGGAGGAGGAAGGGAAGGAGTGTCTATTCATTGTGACTGCCAAAGCAGGTTGTATTACAGAAAATAGAATGTGATTTTTTTTTTTTTATTGTTAATATTTGTACTCCATTATCAACTACCAAGAGAGATGATATGGAATCTGTGCTAGGAAAACAGTCTATTACCATCTGGATATAACATGAAATGACAAATATAGGCACTGGAAAATGGAAAATGGAAAAATCATGGAGAAAGAGACAAAATAACACTGGAAAGGGGATGCATGGAGAATTCCTGTGCATCCAGCCTACATGCCGCTCCCCCTGCAGAGTGGCTGTTCAAGTAAACCCAATGCCCCTATTTTGGGCCATCTGACGAGAGTGAAGTATCCAGATCCAATGGGTCAAGAATCTTATAAAGATAATAATGGTAATAAGACGAATGATAAGATTAATCCCTAAAAATTTGGCCTGAGGGGCAAGTGATGTGAGCATGCCATCATGAGCAAAGGGCAGGGTGACAGAAAAGACTCGCCATGAGTGCACAAACCTCTTGGAGGGCGATTAGACTCCTTTGGTGTTTAGAAAGGGGCTTTTGTATTATTCCCAATGATACACGAGTTTGGAATGTAATGTCCATGAGCCATGAATAAAAGAGTCGACTCCAGGAAGGATGCCTTGTCCATGCTCAGCATCCTATTACTGGCACAGGTTGTATTACATAGAAATGAACATTACAAAAAACAAAGAAATGATGCAACTTTAACCCATTGGACCCAGATTACAATGCAATCACGTCATGGAAAAACTTGAGTCAAGGGGCAGGTGACATGAACATGCTGCCATCAGGCAAATTGGCCGTGGCCTGGGTAATGCGAACTTGCTGTCATGAGCGAAAGCCAAGGTGACAGAAAATGCACAAATCCAGGAGTGCACAAATTTCTTGAAGTGTGATTTGACTCATTTGGAGCTTTAGCATTATTACCATCAACAAATGAATGTGGAATATAACGTGCATAACCAGTGACTGGAAGAGCGCCAGCTCCAGGGAGGACACCATTTCCATGCTGTGCACTGTATTCCTGGCAACTGTGACCAATGGCACAGGTTGTATTACATAAAACTAAAAATTACAAAAAAATGAGATATATGACACAAATAACCAAATGTCCACATTTTTTTCCCCTTTGCACATAGTTATTTACTACAGAGAGAGATGATATGGAGTCTGTGCAAGGAAAATAAATTATTGCCATCTGTATAAAGCAAATCCAAAGACAACTAAGGACAGTAGAAAATGGCAATAAAGCTAAAAAAGTTTTCACAAAATATCTTTGCAAAGGGGAGGCACAGATTTCTTGTCACCGCTCATGGGTGTTTGTGCGCGACCGGCCTACACACTGGACACCTGGGATGTTGGCCATTTACATAACCCATTGCCCGTGTTTTCGGCACCGTGATTTCTGAGCCGCAACAAGATCCAGTGGATCAATGATGGTTATAGAAATGATTTCTTTCTTTTTTCACTTTTTACTAGAAGATCAACTCGTTGGTGAGAAAACACTTGTGAAGCAATCCATGTGCAAAACATTTCATTTTACGCAAAAATACAGTGGATGTGCATTTACCCAGCATTAATGGCTGAAGATCTTTTAAGATTAAGTTTAACATTTTCCACACCAATGATTTGAAATCACAGCAAGCAATCAAACCCTTTAAAATGAGATTTAAATGTTTTAATAACTTTTATATATAATGCATATACATTTTTGTCTGCAATATAAAACAGTTCTCTGTCATAACTAACCTTATGGCAAATAAAAATCACTGAAGTCCACATACCTGAAGGAATGCTCCAGAAGGCTATACAGGACTCTGCCCACACCAAAGGAAGGCTCAACAACACTTGGGATATATTCTTCCACATGGACCTTCTTCTGTTCTCTCTTAAAGCTAGGTACCATAGCTCTTGTCAACTTGAAGCCATTCAATTCATATTCCCTAAGAATAGAGGATATCATGTCAAAAAAGATAAATACATCTTTCTTAGAAAAATATTAAAAATCAAATTCCCATGATCCTGTATAGACTTTCTTCTGGAAATCCAAACGTAAACTCATCAGGCTAAAGCCATGTGTCCAGATATGTGCTGATACCATGTCTAGGAATAAGAAACAAATCCAGTTCATACCCAGCTTCACTTAGAGCTTTGTCCATCTTCTCAGCCACTTCGTTTGAAAGCGAGGCCAGAGCTTCTTGGACTGCTTTCGCATCCTTCTTGAAAGTCTTTCCAATGATTCCCTTGTCTGGTACAGCTGCAACTGCATCCACAATGCGAGGCTCCTTCAAGGGTCTCTCAACACTTAACCTTACACCTGTAGAAGCAACAGGAAATAAAGTCTCCTTTAAAAATATATAAAGAAACTTATGATAAAACTGAAGAATTTTAATCATATGATGGTACTGCAAAAGCAGTATGGCAGAGGTATTTTGAGACTTGTAATAGCTACACAGAAAACTATCCTTACAAGGGTGTTAAAACATTCAGTAATGAACAGAGCCTTAGGTTATGGAAGGGTTGGTATTTTAGGGTTCAAATTGGTCTCATTCTGATTAATAATGTATTGAATAGTCAATTCCAGAATTCATATGGATTTCATTGTGACATCATGATCTTATTCCAGATGGAGACATCAAAACAAATGCATGGTAACATTGTCTCCCTTCACATTGAAGGTTAAAGAAATGAAGATATCACAAGAAAATTTGGAATTTCAATGACGGTAGTGGCTGGGTGGATACACTGGCATTAGGTTATAGGTGCCACAAACAAAAAAATTCAAGGTTACCGCATATAGTGAGGAGTGGGAAGATGATATTTAATTAATTTTGTCCTTTACTTTTCAAGGCAAATGCATCTATGCTTGAGGTGAACCCTTTTTGCAATGCACAGCATCCCAGTTAAATTCGGGCTGTCATGTTGTTTAAAGACTATCCATGTAAGACACCAAATAATGGTCTACAAGCATGCACTACTGCAAAGAAGCCCAAGTTGACACCATAAAATATGGAGAAAAAGATGGAATATGCTTTGTGATATACAGACAAGCCACAGGCCTTCTTGGATAAAGTAATTTCTCTGCAATGAGAAAATATTTTCTTCTGAAGGCACCAACCCTGCGAGAAATGTATGATGTCAACAAAACACCATGTAGGTAGGAACACCACACCCTCCCCTCCTATTTTCAACTTTCGCTCATTTGATTTTGCAAAGAAAAATGTTTGTTTTAATAGAAATGACTTGTAAAACATTTTTACATATGTATACTTACATATCTAATGCTGTGTAATTATTAAACAGATTTTAAACCAGAAGAACTTGATCACAAGCAGGAGTGGCCAAATTGGGGTGCAAGTGGTGTCAGGGAGTTGACAGATGTCGACTTGGCTGATTTACAGGCAGCAGGTATGTAGGAATCCTTGAGGTTTTCCTCCCAAATTAGGGGTATGGTGTTTCACAAAACAGATCCCTTCTATCTTATTCTGGACAACAGCTCCATCTATATCAGCTGTGCTGTCCAAGATTGTTTTTCTGAACACTGCGATATGATACTTTTGCCATATCCTTCCATATCTGGTTCTCAACCCAAATGAAAATGTGTGGGTAGCCATGTCAAAATACATGCTGCAAGATCACACTTACAATCATGTTGCAGTTGTAAATAATGCCTTGCAAGCATGGGAACATATACAATGTGAGGAAGGCTGTACCTTGACAGCCGAAGAAGTGGCGTTTATTCCTCTACACTTGAAACTGTATTTTGGCAGCAGGGGGTGACAAATATTAAACTTAAATATATTACCAGTATCTTATTTTTCTTGTTCTGATATTAATGAAATATGTCAATAGTCAAGGTAATATAGTAACAATATTGTGCATGAGTAGCACCTATTATATAAATCATTTGACAATGCCTTCAACTTGTCTTCTCCCATATTATAACAACTCAAAAAAAAAACAAAAACTAATTAATCTGTGACAAAGTACTATACCATTTAAATTAAATGCACATTTATAGCCTCTCAATTCATATGCCACACATACCCAATAGTTGAAAAATCAGGGGTACCAACAGTTTCCCATTAACAACTATATTTAAAAAAAATATCATTGTCTGTGTCAGAATGTTCAGAATTATTTTCTAACAATAGTTTTCTGTGTTGCTGTACAACAAATAATTCTGACAATGACAAGGGTAACCAAAATTTAATAATTTATAGTCTATATTTAGGAACACTGAATTTTTCATATATGAATAAGTGAAATGAACTGCTAAAATCCAATCAATATAAGATGTAAGAAGGATATAACTAGAAAAGATAATAAAATATTCTGCTGTATCTTATCTTTAAGGACTAGGCCTAAGTAAGTGGCCTTAGCTTCCTCGAAGCCCTTAAAAGGTAACAAAGAGAAAATGCTGACAGTAAAACATGTAGACAATCTATACAAACCTGATGCTTTAGTATGTTGGCCAAGATCATATGCACTTCTATCAGCACAGCCCACACACTCAATCCAGCCGTATGAAGTAAGGCACTCTGCATCCCAACAGTCACAGGCATAATGTGCCATTTCATTGCTTAGATGCTGTCTGAATCTAAGTTTCTTGGGGTTGATACCAATCTTCAGGAGGTACTGATAAATGCGAGCCATGTAGTAACCAAGAGTCTCATTTGCTACCATGCCCTGAAATATTGGTATGAGAGATAAATGTAATAAATCTCTAAGAATATCCTTCACTAGTAAAAGAAATGGTAGTACTAATCTTAAGAAAAATTCAGCTTCAGTTGCCCATTTCAAATCCTGACAATCAACCTAGTGTTACCTGATAGATGGATATATTCTTTAAGAATTCTAAATCCAGATGCTATTGTTCTCGGCCGTCAGCCATGTGCCTCACATGTGAGACGTAATGCATAATCTCAGTAACATCTGTTATGTCTAAATGGACATTTCCAAGACGATTTCTTAACCACAAGTCATGTCATGAGGTCATATATAGAAGATGTGAAATCATAATTATTTTAATTTACCTGGAGTTGGTGTCATAACGGAAGGAGGGAGTGGGGTAATTATGAGCACTGAGAAAGATAGACAGAAAATCAAAATGGGGAAAAAAAAGTTGAGACTAAGGAGGGAGGAAGGCAGAAAAAGACAGATGGACAGAGGCAGGCAGGTTGACAGACAAACAGATAGATAAATAGATAGACAGAGGCAGGCAGGTACGCAGATAAAATGATGTCATGAAGAGGTACATCATGGAGAGTTACGTCACAAAGTGTCATCATGGAGAGTTACGTGACATAGTGTCATCATGGAGAGTTACGTGACAAAGTGTCATCATGAAGAGTTACGTGACAAAGTTTCATTATGGAGAGTTATGTCACAAAGTGTCATTATGAAGCTCAGGCTGTGATGTCATTACAGTCTCCATATTTACTTTTAAGATATTATAAAATGGAAGTGATGTTGCTTTACAGCTGCCACTTATTTCCACAAAGTAGTAAATGACATCACATGACAATATGTTCCCGCCATCCTGGTCTTCAGCCAAAATTCTTACAAAAGCATATTCCTATCACCTTGGTCTTAATTAAAAAAAAAAAAAAAATCTGTGATCTGATAGTCACACTATCCGGATCCAAGGGGTTAAGTCAGCAAAGGTCATTCTAGATTCTGCATTTTGATACCATGCTCTAGTCACAGATAAATCCATTCAGTACATGTCAGATATGATTCTCAGAGAAGGGGCCATCACATGAAGTGAAATGGTGAGTGTCAGATGAAACTAGAGATCATTCTTGGACATGATGGTATCACTGGCATCAGTATTAGAGAAATATTGAAAATAATTATATAATATCAAAAGCTAAATCATACTACTCATAAAAAAACAGTATCAATAGCCTTAAAACACAGACAGACATAAAGAGAAAGAGACAGAAAAGAATGAAAAAATATGAATAAGAAGTTACTGAGAAGGAAATGGTTAAAGGTTGATGGTTGGAACAAATT